ACATGCAATGGTCAATGTCGACGCACATCACCTCTACTACCGGACAATCCGCCTCTGACTAACACGTAATATATCACACACAAACAAACAACAACAACAACAAAAACGAAAAAAAAAAAACACAGAAAAAAAAATAATAATGAAACACAGAGAGAGAGAGAGAGAGAGAGAGAGAGAGAGAGAGAGAGAGAGAGAGAGAGAGAGAGAGAGAGAGAGAGAGAAACGGGGAGAGATATATAGAAAAAGAGCATGAGAGAGATAGCGGGAGAGAATAGAGAAAGTGAAAGAGAGGCAGAGATACTGACACACACACACACACACACACACACACACACACACACACACACACACACACGCACACACACACACACACGTACACACACGCACGCACACACACAAACACACACACACACAAACACACTGTCACACATCCTCTCCTCTACACATAAACATAATGATATAATTGTACACTTGCACTCACAAACAGCGAGCGTCGTAAACTACTTACCTAAAACAAACTCAATAAGAGACTAGCAGTCACATGCACGACATAAGCGAAGAATGATCGTTAACAGCTAGTGTTCAGCTAGATACATAATCCGTATTCTGAAAGGAACTCAATGATACTCCAAACTGTGCTCTAAAAGTCATATTATGTCACCGACACAACACAATCGATATCTCATCACTATTAGTATTCCAATCACATCGTCATCAATAACAAATCACTGCTACAACACATCAATCACAACGCAACGCAACACATCCCAAAGGAGCAAGAAAATATCAACTTACCCTACCAATATCCATATCACGACTGACCACACGGAGGAAGGGACACACGACAGCGCACAAAGGAGCACACGAGTGGACACGCTCTAAGTTTGATTACGCGGGGAGGTGTGACCAACAACAACAACAATCAATCAATCAATCAGTACACAAACAGAGCTCCTCACACAAATGCACACACACACACACACACACACACACACACACACACACACACACACACACAGACACACACACACACGCACATACAAATGCACACACACACATACACACGCACATACAAATGCACACACACACATACACACACACTCTTTCTCACACACACCTACACACATTCCAACACACTTGCATACTGTGGTCTATTTGGTTGTTTTTGGTTGTGGCAGGGGGTTAGGCCTAGCCTATTGTATTGTTTGGCTGAAAGTGTGAGAGTGAGTAAAGTGTGAGTCTCTGTTCAGGTACACACACGCACACGCACACACACACACACACACACACACATGCACGCACGCACATGCACACACACACACATGCACACACATGCACACACATGCACACCAACGCACTCACCCCTTTCCTGTTAAGTCTTTTTGTTTCTAAACCCTACCGCCGGACGATCTTGCCCGCAAACAACATCAACTCTATTTGTGTACATAAACACACACACATACACGCACGCATACCAACGCACTCACCCCTTTCCTGTTAAGTCTTTGTGTTTCTCACCTCTACCGCCGGACAATCTTGCCCGACGACACACACACACACACACACACAGAGGCACGCACGCACACCAACGCACACCAACGCGCTCACCCCTTTGCTGTAAATTCTTTGTGTTTCTCACCTCTACCACCGGACAATCCAGTCCGCCACCGTCATCAACTTTATATGTACGAAGGTCAGAAGCACTCACGCATACACACACAGCAATAGTAAATACACGCCCTACGTGCTGAGACAACCCCGCTCCGTATGTGTGAGTGCGTGAGTATATTTATACAGAGAGAGAGAGAGGCGCATGTACAAGCGTGAGCACGGACTATGGGAAGTATGGGCAACTCATAACACAATTACTGTTTTGACAGTGCCATTGGGAATTGGTTGTGGCCCTTAAAAGGGCCGGTTTGGTTGTTCTGAACGTTTGGGTTGGGTGCACTTATCCGCCGAAGCCGTAGAGAGTGCGGCCTTGACGTTTGAGAGCATAGACAACATCCATAGCTGTGACGGTCTTGCGCTTAGCGTGCTCGGTGTAAGTGACGGCATCCCTGATCACATTCTCGAGGAATACCTTGAGCACACCTCTGGTCTCTTCGTAGATCAAACCAGAAATACGCTTCACACCACCACGCCTGGCCAGACGGCGAATGGCGGGCTTGGTAATGCCCTGGATATTATCCCTCAAAACTTTGCGGTGACGCTTGGCGCCTCCTTTTCCAAGACCTTTTCCTCCTTTTCCTCTACCAGACATGATGACTGATTAATTTGTGAGAACTGCCTGTTCAGCGCGACGCCAGCACCTTTTATACTGAGGGAGACAGAGCGAGGCGAAGCGTACGAAAAATAGGAGCCAAAACTGTCATGGCGGACTTTTCAGCCAACCACCGCTCTCCGTTTGCGAATTTTTCGGAATGGAGACCGTCGGTTGGCTGAAAAGTCCGCCATGACAGTTTTCGCAACTTTTCTTCCACCTCGCACGCACTGCTCGGATCGACAGAACCCCTTCTCTTAGGGAGGTATATGGTATGCGGACGACGGACCAATCAGCGGCCAGCTCGTCAGGATAGAGAGAAAGTAGACAGAGGCTTTCTCGGGGTCGCGGCGTGCATGGAGGTATAAGGAATGTGAAGGGAAAAGCGGCCTAGTATCTCTACGTTTAGCTGCTCCGTCCTCAGTCTTGGGGTTACGAGTTTTCTCTCTCTGTACACACATATGGGCGCACATTGTGTGTGAGTGTGTGTGTGTGTGTGTGTGTGTGTGTGTGTGTGTGTGTGTGGTGTGTGTGTGTGTGTGTGTGTGTGTGTGTGTGTGTGTGTGTGTGCGTGAGTGCGTGCATGCGTGCGTACGTGCGTGCGTGTGTGTGTCAGTGCGTGTGCATTCGACTGCGCATTACTACGCTTATGTGCAAAGATATGCTAAAAGGAGAGGATGTGTGCGTGCATGTGTGTGTGTGTATGTATGTGTGTATGCGTGTGTATGTGTGTGTGTGTGTGTGTGTGTGTGTGTGTGTGTGTGTGTGTCTATGTGTGTGTGTGTGTGTCTGTGTGTGTGTGTCTGTGTGTGTGTGCATCTTGGGTGTTATCCTAGGAGAGCTCCCACAAAATAGGAGGGTTTTCTTTTTTCTTCTGATCTGTAAAGAAAAATAAATAAATTTTAAATAAAAATAGAAACTTAAAAATAATCTAACAAATTTTAAAAAATGAACGGACAGTTGCACACAAAAGCAAGCTGCCCGTACCGTACATCAAGGGGGGGGGGGGGGGGGGGGGGGG